GATATACTGAATGAAAAAGAAATGAAAGAAAGAAAAAAAGTAAGAAAGACTAACACCGATAGAAAGAAAGAAAGAATGTTATAAACTAAATTTGTAAGATGAAGAAAGAAAGAAAAAAGATGAAGGAAGAAAAAAGACAGATGAAGAAAGAAAATAGATGACAAAATAAAAAAATCAAAAAAAAAATCAAGGAAGCTGAAGTAAGATTGAAAAAAAAAAAAAAAGCAAAAAATATTCAAAGGAAAATGAAGAGCGAAAGATTGAAAGTAAGACTGGAAGAAAGAAGAAGGAATCGAAAAGAAAGATAAAGAAAAGAAAGATTGAAAGTAAGACAAAGAAAAAAGATTGGAAGAAGGATGAAAAATGAAAGACAAAAAGAGGAAAGACAGAAAGAGGAAAGAAAGAACAAAGAAAAGAAGAAGGAGAAGAAGAAATTAACTAAAAATGAAGTTATATTAAAAGCAGAGGATTAAAGTGATTGAATAAGTAGAATAATTTTAATGGCTTCCTTCAGAGTTTTTTCTTTCATTTCTTTTCTTTTATTGTTTATTTCTTTTCTTCTTTCTGTTTTCCTGCCTAAAATATATGATTAAAGGGTTTTGAAAATGAGTGAAAATTACTGTTCATTTCATTTGTTTTCAACTCTAACTGTTCAGCTTGACTAAATCTTTCACTGCTGAGGGAACAAGCATTCACGTAGCTATTGAAGATAATGTCAATCCTAAAAAAGGCACGAGGACTGTATAAATTAGAACCGAGATACATGTACAAGAGGCATGTATTCAGCAGCTTATGAAAAGATAGGCATTCTACATTTTCAAAGATCTAATTCTTTCTGAAATTAACACACACACTCACACATGAGGAGCCATGGGGGAGTCGGGGAGGAACCGAAAGTGAAATAAAATTGAAAATATATTTGAAACAAACACCCTGAAGGAACGGACCCATTTATTCCAGATACTCAGATGTGCATCTTCATAGATTTCAATTTAATGCAAAGATATATTCTGCTGCAATAAGCTATTAGGTAAATATTAAATCTATCAACGGCCTCCCCACACTCACTTTTTCTACCAATCTTTTACCCTCAGTAGATTAATCTATCATTCAAATATCTTTATAGATTCTGGTTCTAGCAGATTTTACAAGGATCTGGACTACTTGCTAGCCAAGTAAAGAGTTTAATGAACCTAATGAAAACGATGTGGGTCGCGTAATAGTTAACTGTTCAGAAAGAGAAATCATCAATCTGAGTTCAAATTGCAAAGTTGATTATGTAAAAATGTTGCACAAATGGGTTCTATGGATTAAAGGAGCAGGGAAAACCAAAATCTCTGGCCATGGTTGGCAACTAGTCTAGAAGGACATTCCTGAATTTAAAATTGGTTTATGTGTTAATAAAACCAGGAGTAGTAAGTCTCATCACTAATCATGCATCTTTCGCATCTGTAGAAGCATTATCGACTCTTAGAAACTTGTATCAAATTATTATTAAGTGAAAATTATATACGTGAATTATTCTAGTAATTGCATGAAATTCAAATGTTTGTTCATATGAAGACTGCCCAACACAAAGCCTAGTTCTAATATAATTGAACCATTGTGGGGGAAGTGAAGAAATATGTCCAACGAAAAACCACACAATCTTTTGGGTTTACTGCCAAAAAAGAATGGGAAAACTTTCTAATGAAAAATCTAGACATATGGTTGTATGTATTTTAATTTTATATTGTGGATATTATTTAAAAATTGAAATTTGCAGCAAGCTCATAATTCGGTCTAGTGGTATATAGGCATTATAACTGTCCCATAATTGTTACATTTGCATACATATTTTATACACTGAACAGAACCATGATTATGGGACAAACTTTGTAGACATTAATCTATTAGGTTGGTTTATGAATTTGGTGATATAGTAATTGTAAGTTTAATGCTGGACAAGCAACAACTGAACAATACTAAATAAAAACTAGATGAGTTATCCCTAAACATATGGGCACTGGATTGATAACAGTCTACACCTGTAGATTAGATAAAGGATTTAGTTCAAAATTCCCTGAAGGTTACCAGGAGATTGGCAATCACCTGATAATGTTTGGAGGACACAACAGCTGAAACGCAGATAACAACGCCAAACATGAAGATATAGTCTGTGTGTAAATAATAACCTCATCTCAGAAATTCAGATAACAATTATTAATCTCTTTCTATGTGTTATGTCCTTGTGTGATTATGGATCTCCCCAGCTTCCTGCCTTTGTTGTGCTCAAAATAATTTTTCTCTTTGTCGCATTTGTTCCACTAGTCATCTTCACAAACTTTTCAAGTTCTCGTTCTATGTTATGTCACCAGGTCATGTGTGATCATGGCTCTCCCCAGCCATCTGTCTTTATTGTGCTCAGCAATACTTTCTCTTCAATGACTTATTTTGTCATACTGATTCCTCCATTCATTTTCACAAACTTGTCATGCTCTGTCTCAGATATTCACAACATGCATTAGTAAAACCACATCTCGCCCATTTCAAAACCGTTTCATTTGTCACTACCATATCAGGATGGTAGATATAAGATGGCAGTACAGCACTTATTTCTTGGTTATTATTATCATGTTTTTTTTTTCTTTACATTCCAGATCTTTAAAGTATTTAGTACATTAGTACACTTGTAAAAACATCTCAGTTGAACAATTATAAAAACCTGCGGTGACAAAGATGACTAATTAACAAATACAACCAGGGCTATAATTAGCATTTCGTTTGTGTGTCCATGGAAATTCAAACGGCACATACTCCCCCACTTCTCCTCTGCTGGGCTAGAATATCTGGGGCGTAGATCCTTGTTGAAAGATCCAGAGCTAAAGAGAGAAAGAGAAAGAGAGAGAGAGATCCATAGCTAAAGAGAGAGAGAGAGAGAGAGAGAGAGAGAGAGTGTGTAAAAGTTAAGCAAAGGCTAATCTGAATAAGTTATTAATAAGAGTCGATATGAGGAAACTTAGCTAACAACAATGTTATATTTGTCTTGACATTCAAGGAGAGAGACGAGGAACAATGCTTGATAATGATGGAGTCCTAAAGAAGATGAGCATCTTGGTCTGTCATTAATACTGCCAAATGAGGGTTACAAACGAACTTTAGTTGTTTGTCTTTCTTTCCACACTTTTTAAAAGAACAGAAGTGAGAATAAAAAAAAAAAAAAAGAAGAAAAAGACAATGGTTGTAATCTAACAAGAATAGAGATTGGCTAAGGAATAAAGTGATGCTTAATATTTAGTTTATACTTTATATTACAGAACACTTATGCATAAATAGCCTCGAAAGGTAAGAATATATCTCACCCCCTCTGCTATGGGTTAAATAGTAGTAAAATCACCATCTATAAAATAGTTAAGGCAATATTCAAAATAAGAATTATTATTATAATCCAAAATATCTTTCAGTTTTAAATAATCCACAAAAGGGTTGATAAACCATAAAAAAAAATCAAACAACATGAAATAGAATACTGAGTAGCTAGATTTAAGATTTTAAGAATTTTTAATTTTATCAAAAAGTTCTGATCTGTGTGTCTCTGTCACTGTCTGTGTGCCTCCACTTGTCCTTGTCTGTGTGTCTCTTTTATCTGTGTGTCACCTGTCTCTGCATATCTTTTCTGTCTCTGTAGATGCGTCTCTGTCTATGTGTATATATATATGTCTCTTTCTGTCACTGTTTTGTGTGTCTCTTTCTGGATGCTGATTACTATAGACAGAGAATGTAAGCAACGGGGAAGAAGTTTAAGGAAAATAGAAACAAAAAAGAACAATTATACTTAGTCAGAAAGACACAATTGAAATTTCTAGGGCACATAATGAGGAAAGAAGGCTTGAAAATTTGATGCTCAAGGCAAGAAGGACAGAAAAAACAGTGAAAAAAACCTACTTAAGGAGCTTGTGACTCTCAGGCTGGCAGAACAGGGAGTGAGAAAATTACAAAAAGGTGAATATTGTTAAGAGCTACCAAAGATAGGAAGTTGTGGAGAGCTATGATCGCCCATGTACTGAAGGGACATAACACATGGAAGAAGAATGGAAGCTCACGTATAATATCTATTGGAAATTGTTTTTTTTTTTAATAACTACGACTCAAACACTCATAGGAAAACAGGAAATACTGTTTATAAATTAGACTGAAATTGAAAAGGTTCAAATGAATAACCAGTGAAGCTGCAATGGAAAATTGCAAGGAGATTGATGACAGTTTTGCTGCATCAAGTTTACTGCAGTTGCAGTACTAAATGAACTGCTATCTGGTGCACTTGTCAATGCTGAACACACACACACAAATAAATAAATACATAAACTTGCACAAAAAACAAAAACATATATGCACATATAAATACATTAAAGGAATACTATGTTTCTTCAAGATGTAGTGTGATCATGGCTCTCCACAACTTCCTTTTCTTTAATCCATGCAAATAACCATGCATTGTTGAGAAAGTTTGTGGATTGATTTCCCATTGCCTTCTCCAGTTTGAAATTCAAAATTTTCTTTCTAGACTGGTTGCACATTCAAAGCTAGAGAGCCCAGTTTACACTGTGATTATTTGTTTAATTAGTTAAGGCAGCTTTGTCACTAGAATACTTTGAGATGGAACTGCTTAAAATCCGAATAGGGAGTATGAATTTGCACACTAAAATTTGCTCACATCATTTTTGTTAATTCGTGCTGAAATCACTGGTTCGTTTTTGATCACTGGAGTTAAGCAGAGTTGATCCCAGTCAGTACTTAAGTTGGGTACTGCTTAGGAACATTGGTTACTGTAAGCAACTTTCCAAAATATGTTTTGGCTTTAAATAACCCAAAAACCAAAATCAATCAATCAATAACATTGTTTCAATGATTTTTGGGCATCAGTGAGAGCACTTTGGCTATAAGTGTGATTTAGAAGGAGAAGGAATTTTGCATGAAATTGGCTGGGATTTGAAGTTAACACATCAATTCCAATTACTACATCAATAACAAATTATGATATTTATACATCCTATAAACATGTACATGCTCAAGAACTCATACACACACACACACACACGCATATACACACACACACATGTTGTTTTCCTCCTGAATACAGAGCGCTGGACAGAAAGCAAGTGATCACTATTATAATTGCTCTATTTTCTTTGGCTAGTATCCATTTAAACACAGTAAATATGAATGTCGTTAACAAATTTTAATGATTTATAGAAACAAACAAATTAGTCAGAGAGGGAGATTCACCCCCAGAAAGTGTACATCTTGAGAAGCATATTATAAATTTGATATTCCAAAAGTGAATAGTACTGAAATGGGATGGTGATTGAAAAGAAGGTGATAGAAGACAGGAGGGTGACATTCTTTTTACAAAATCCATATAATAAAATATAAGTAACACTTGAACACCACATGTTTTTACAAAGAATAAAATTAAGACATTGACTATGTCAATTATAAAATCTGACTTCAAACGCCAACTTAGGCAATAAAAAATGTTTATGAGTTGATTTAAAGCTTCCTACTAAAAGTATCGCTTTTAGCACTTTGAATTGCTGTAATGGTTAGTCTCTGTACTTTCAGCCTTGTGCCACATCTAAGCTACACTTAATAAATTGCTAAAAGTATCACTGTGAATAAAGTTGTTGTCGGCATGAGATTAACTCGTAAACGGTGTCATAATAAAAATTGCCAACCACAATGTTATCTTGTGGTTGGTAGTCAATGTGTTTAACATAAGTGTCATAAACAAACTTACGGTTTTATTTTATTGTTTTCTGAAGTTAAAAGTCTAAACATTTATTTGCATCTTGCTGATGTAATCTAGCCAACCAGATCAGATGGTTGATGTCTGCAGGGGGTGAATGTTCTATGATTGTGGGTATAGTGATATAGCCACAGATGTTTGTCTGGTGGCATCTTATCTAATGACATCAAAGAAAAACTGAAATGTGTATGTGCTTACAGTGTTGGATTAGTTGTTTTTGAATTTGCAGTATATATATAAAAAAAAGTGTCTTCATATGGGTATGGGGGCAGGGTACTAGGGTTGTGGTCTGGGTGCCAGCGAGACAAAAATTTGTAATCACTACTATGGATCATTCGAATTTGCTTCAGATGAATAAGTTTTAGATTTAATTCAAATTTGCCAAGTTTGACGACATCCCTAAATGATTAAAGACAACAAAAATATTCTTTTTAAAAAATCTACAATGGTGGGAGGGACATCTTACTGTTCTATAATTGTTTTCATACCAGATGTTTGAGGAACTTTATTCCTTGGTTCCACCAGTCCAGATCTCCACAGCAAGGACCTAAAAGGTCATGTACACTTAGTCATCTGCATTCCCATTATATTCCATTAGTGAATCAATTTGCTTCTTCCCTCGAACTGTCGTTGCAATGTGGAATGGACTCCCAAGAGGATACTTTCTTGAACAATAGTCTTAACCTCTTCTAGGACCAATCATTATCTATCCTACACATCCTCATATGTACTTCTTTCTCCTTCCCTGTATACCTTCATTTAATACCCTTCTACCTTGAGAATATCTTCGGCTCTGTAATGTGAAAAATAGTAAAAAAAAAAAAAAATTCAAGTCAACTAGAAAAACCTGATAAAATTTCTAATGAATCTTAATTCTTCAGTTAATGATTGAATAAGCTCATGGCAATTTCTATGACAATAAAATATCTGTAGAAATTCCCCTATCACATCATTAAATATTTGAGCTTAAAAACCTTAAGAATGAGAAAGACTTGAGAAAATTTCACGTTTATCCTATTTGAAATTTGATGAATCTTAATCTTAGTTCTTAAATCTTAAGCCAATGATTGAATAAGCTCATGATGAGTTCTAGAACAATAAAATATCTTTAGAAATTCCTGTCGCATCATTAAGTATTTGAGCTTAACAACTTTAAGAAAATATTGAAATAATAATCATAAGTATGAATGTTATTTTAAGAAGTGGGTAAAAATGAAAAGATTTAAAATTGATAACTCTTTTCCATTTCACTGAAACAGACGTTAAACACGGTCTTCCCTACTTTCTATCATTTTATCACTGAAACCAAGTAGCGTCTCAAATATGTCATTTCCATGTTTTCAGTGGTCAGAATGGAATTGAGGTATTGGCAGGGCATAATGGTTGTGCGAATTAACGAATGGAGAGACAAGCAGATTTATAATAAAGATACTTTTATTTGCACAAGTTCAGTAGGGTCATGCATTGCTTTCCTCAGTCTCTCTTGCTTTCAATATGTTCTGTGAGTTTCAAATTTTCCAAGCCCTCTTTCCTCATTATGTGCCCTAGAAATTTCAACTATCTCTTTCTGATATTAAGTACGTGTCCTTTTTGTTGTTAGTCCTTTGTTGTAACTCACATATTCAATCCATAGTATTCTCAGTATTGTTTTGTAGAACATATGTTGTTTCAAGTCTCTTCATCTGCAAGAAGATTGTTTAGTATTCACTGCCATATAGGAGGACTGATATTACATAACTGTTCAATACTCTTTTTTTTCTTTTAATGAAATTTTCTTGTTTCTTAGTACTTTGCTTAGTTTTTGGAAGGTATCTTTTGCTATCCCAATATGCCTTTGGACTTCCGTGTCACACTTTCCGTCCTCGGTTAAAATATTTCATAGATTATTAAATCTTTGTATATGCTTGATTTTGGTGTCTCTAATTTGTAATTCACATGTTGGGCTGCCCCTTTTGCTAACAACCATGCGTTTTGCCTGCTTAAAATTAATATTTAGTCCTAGATATCCTTCACTAACATCTGTAGAAATTCCTGGAGTTCTCTTTTTGTGCCCTCTATTAACACTGTGTTTTTCGCATATTTAATCCACCCTGGGTATGATGATAAACTACATCCACCCATCTTGAGAAAGACAATAAATTACATCTGACCATCCTGGGTAAGACAATAAACTACATCCGGCCATCCTGGGTAAGACGATAAACTACGGCCAACAGTAAGGCCTTTGATCAGGATGTTTTGAGGAGCATGGAACCGCCTCTTAATTGCTGGTGTTCCCAGGTCCACCCTGACCCGGGATGGTAGCACCTGTTAGGGTCCCAGCTCTGGGCAAATAGTTACCCTCTCCAAAACTGGAGTCAAAACACTATGAAAATATAAAAATAGATTTTAATACTAGCAATACATTTTTATAAAAATTATTACCATCAATGAATTTTTGAAAAAAAAAATACCAGCAATAAAAATCTTGTCAGTATTAAATAACCCACTGAGGTTGATATGCTGTAAAACAAAGCAAACCAAACCAAGCATATTTAATGTTAAGATTGTGGCTGCCAATAATAATTCCTGGTAGAACTTCTAGTTCTCTCTGGACTGCTCCACTGTAAAGAGGCAGTAATCATTCAAATTATTTACTAATTTTTGTCATAAATATGTTCTCAGCTCAAAATTGTGTAATACTCTAAATTCTTAGCATCCTATAATACCTTTCTCTCATAATGTACTAATATATATATATATATATATATATATATATATATATATATATATATATATATATATATATGTGTGTGTGTGTGTGTGTGTGTGTGTGTGTAAATGTAAATCTTTTAAATTCAGCGGGAGAAAAAAACCTGGATAGTACAATTTCCAAACAAATTGGCATAGAAACCTTTGAAAAGGCCGAAATAAATCGTCCACAAATCTCTGGTACAAAGAAAAAAAAAAAACAGTGAGTAATAAGTTAAAACAAAAAAGTGCTCAATATGCTAAGTAGAGCAGAGGTGAAAAAAATCCTAATGAGCCAGATACCACCGACTTAGGTTTCACCAAATGGGATCATCAGGGTGAACTGGCTATATATATATATATATATATATATATATATATATATATATGTATACTGCATTAATATTTAAGCTTACCTTTTAAAAGTTCAACAATAATTGTTCTGCTGCCACTTAATTTAAAGATAATTTGATGTATGTAGGTCCTTACTTTCCAAACAAACAATTATTTTTATTTCATGGGTGGCTTTCCCTAGATTTCAAAATTTATTTCTGAGTTATAAAAATTGTTATCATACAAAATTTGTTGCAAAAAATCACACAAAAAGAAAAAAATCATCGCAGTAATGAAAACTTGGGAATCCAAAATTTCACAATTGTGGGTCCAGATCCAGACTGGAATGTTTTTAATTTGCTCACGATGTCAGCCTGATTCCAAAATGGTATGATATGTTGGACTACGGCCTCTAGGGAGTAAAGTTGAACATAGTGACACACTGACATTTGCATATATATATATATATATATATATATATATATATATATATATATATATATGAAATGAATAGACAATAGCAAAACTTTTCTTTAACAGTGTGTTTTGACCTGTGATAAATAAAATATCCCTAGAACCTCCCCTATCACACTGTTAAATATTTGAGCTTAACAACTCAACTTTAATAAAATATTGTAATAACAATCATAAATATGAATTCTGGTCTTTATTTTAAGAAGTAAGCAGGTACAAATGAAAAGATTTGAAACTGACAACTTTTTCATTTCACTGAAACAGCTATTAAAAACTATTTTCCTTTCTTTCTTTCATTTTCGCATTGAAAATAAGTAATGTCTCTGATATGTCATTTTTGCGTTTTTACAGTGGTTAATACAAAATATAAGTATTGGCATGGTGTAAAGGTTGTGCAAACTAAAAGTGAAAAGAAGTGGTGAAAGAAAGACATAGAAAAACAGGCTTGCTGTCTTAAGCTTTATTGCTCCTTCTATGTGTATAAGCTTTTAAGGTGGGTAAAATTTTATTTAAATAAACTGAAAAATCCCCACCGGCATGGCTATTCAAGACAGCAGTTGTATTTGGGACAAAAGAGTGTGTATTATCAGTTAAGATGAAGTGTGAAAAAAAGACAAGACAGGAACCTTAACAAATGAAAGCAAACAAGAAGAATGTAAGGCAACGAATGAGAAATATTGATTTGAATGGGAACTTGGGCAAGGGGAGAAGAAGGAAGAAAGAAATAAAAAAAAAGAAAAGAAAAATGAATTTAATAACTATCGAAAAAGAGATTATCAATTTGGTAGAAGGTAATAACATGTTATTGTCAGCGTGGCCGCTTGTTTAACAAGTCATTTTGAATGATCAAATGTTTGATTTTTATTCTTTGTTTTGTGTTCCAGCCTTTGCTTTAAATGGTTGTGCATCTGTTATTGTTGTTAAAAACCAACAAAAAAAATATGAAAGTTCCACCCACCAATGCTAACAATTTTGAAGCTGATAGTCAAGTAAAAACCATCATTTTGTTTCATTCTTTTTCATTTCTTCTTCATATCTCTAAGGTGAGACTAGATTACCAAATGAACCAGCTAAGAATATTCGGGAGAGAAATGATTTTCACTCTATCATTGACAAGTTGGTAAAGTGTTAGGGTTAGACTTTAATATCAGGCATTGTAAGAGGTAGAGAAACAATTGGGTTGGAGTCTTAAACAGAAAAGAGAAATTGAAGTAGTTCAGAAATAGATGGTTTCATCATTCATTGCTATTTAAACAATAAATAAAAATTGTTTTCTAATATTGAAATTAAATTCAGTGGGAAATTTTTCGAAAGTAATCACAAACTGAGGCATCAACTGCAAGAAAAACTACCAACTCATAGAATTTGTATTTTTAGGATTTGAAGAAGAAGCTGGAATAAAAAAATATTTTATAAATAAAAAAGAAAAGACAAAAGATTTTTAATGCATTTAAGATAAATATCCCCTTAATAAATAAAATGGAAACGAAAGAGTGAAAACACAAAGATTTGCAAAAAAAAAAAAAAAAAAGAAGCAAAAAAGGAAAAATATATATATAAAAAATGAAAAACACAAAAAATATGAAAAGTAACAGAAAAATATCCTTATACTTAATCGATATTTGGTTGACAAATAAATTGAGATTACTATACATACATACATGTAGATACACACATATATAGATATAGCACATACTGGAGTTGTGTATATACATATTTACATACACTCTATCTTTTTGATATTGAGCACTTTTACCCATAAATATAGCACACCTTACAATTGTATTTTTATCATAGAAACATATGCATAATATACACATACATATTGGAGATGTATATGTATTTATAAATACATATATACATACACAAATGCATAATGCATATCATATGTACACGTATTAGTTTAATATATATATAATAGAAAAATTAATTATAAAGTGGAAAAATATTTGGTGTAATGAATCTGATTTTTTAGAACTTCATTAGACTACAGCATTGTTTACATTGATTTAACTACACATGAGCATGTAGAAAAAAAGAGATGCTGAAATTTTGGACTTTTAAATTTAAACTTTTTTTTTTTTTTTTTTTTAGATGTGTTTGCCTACACACACACACACATTCACACGTGAGGCTATAAGCCTGTAGCAGGATGTGGTTAGGTGAGTTTTGATCTGAAATATTAATAGTATAATCTATGGGACTGATATTCACCATTGAATCAAATCCATTGGAAAGGAAATAATGTGTAAAATAAATGTGTTGCATAAAATGAATAATATTTGCATCATTAGTCTATAAACTTAATGATATACCTATATGCACACACACACACACACACACAAACACAGAATTAGGTATATTAGTAAGTATATATATATATATATATATATATATATATATATATATACTAAGGTCAAAATGAACACAAACAGTCTGTTTTGTACTCGAATGCAATTTTCAGGCCTGAAGGTTGTGTTCTAGTATAAATACACACCTCTCTCTATTTCTCATATATATTATATATATATATATTATATATATATATATATATATATATATATTATATATATATATATATATATATATATATACTCAACTCCCCATCAAATTCGGTGTATGAGGATCAAGCAGATCAGTTCCTATGAAAGTGACAGCCCGATGCCAGCACATGAGATTTGATTATAGTAGTGAAGGTTTCTGCAGAACCATCCACACTTTTGAAGAGTCAAATACAGAGACTTAGTGTACTACGTGCGACAGGGTCCCCAAATGACCCTTCCCAGGTTTTAAATTCAGAGTTGTCCTTCTCCTAGACCAGTTGCCATCCAAGGCTATAGAACCCAGTCTGCCCTACTATTTTAGCCATAGCATGTAAGTAAATGTAATGGATTTGACTGGAATTCGAAACCGTCTCTGATTTCTTCAATCCAAGTCATTATCCATTACTCCACCTGTGTCTATATATATATATATATATATATATATATATATATATATATATATATATATATATATATATATATGTGTGTGTGTGTGTGTGTGTGCACACACACAAAAAATAATGAAAAAATGTTATTTTAACTAAAGTTTCCCCCTGTAAGGATTCTCAGACCATATGCACAAGTATGGATACACAGAGAGAGAGAGAGAGAGAGAGAGAGAGAGAGAGAGAGAGAGAGAGAGAGAGAGAGATGCAGAGAGATACACACACGTGCACCTTTCTTTTAAAGTGACTGATTCAAATCATTTTGTGGTTAAGGAATAAGATTAGTAAACACTGAAATTTTAATTTAAATCATTTCTTCAGAATAAACACTACAATTTCTAAAGACTCTTCTGTTAGTATAGTACTGTGTGTGTGTGTGTGTGTGTGAGTGTGTGTGTGTGTTATATATTACATACATATATACTTATATCTACCACCCCTCACACACTCTCAAGAAAAGGATCTTACGCTATATATGAACATGAATAATTTGTTCTCATTATGTTTTTTGTAAAAGATTATTTGTAATGAAATAAAAAGTAATTAAAATACAAATTCACTTTTGATTTATAAGGATAAAGTTACCTTGAACCCCAGAAAAAAAAGAAATTTAATCAAATTTTTGTCTAATCTTTGCAAAATCATTTTTCTTTTTTGTTTTCTTTTAACAGCAAGTCATATTCTTCCCTACCCAACTGCCAATGTAAGAAGACATAGCATTTTTAAAATATTTAGAATTTTGAAGATTTAAAAAACATAAAAAAAAGAAATATAATTTTAAAAATGGCTTCTTTCCTTTCTTCCTGCCCACCCGTCTCCATCAAATTTAATCTAATTTAATGAAGTTAGGTAAACTCAAATTTTCTTGAGATATCAATTGATCTGCATAGTTTAAAGTTGAAGGCTATCGAGAAGTTGTGATTCTATACCCCCCCAACAGCCCCATGCCAATCTCAAAATAATCAAACATTTATAAGTAGCAGAAGATAAAGAGAATAAAAGTGATCCTGAGAAACATAACTGTGAGAAACCAATTTATTGACTGCACCCAAGTACCACTTGAAAACAAAATTAATCAAATTTAAATTAAATTATGCTAAATGTATATATATATATATATATATATATATATATACATACATACGTACACAGAGACACAAACATATATATGCATATACATATATACCTATGCCCACACACTCAGACATACGCACACACACACACATCGATATACATAAGTACATATACATAGTCTATTGGACCTCTTAAAACGCCCTGTTTGTACTAGAGTAGGTCACTTGGGCTAAAACACCCACATTCTGTTCAGCACATTAGTAGATTTTCTCCAAAAAGATATGTAGAAATGGCTGCACTTGGACATGATTGGCAAACCAAATATATATATATATATACACACACACACAGATAGATAGATAGATAGACACATACATATATAAATATATATATATATTTATACATATATATATTTGTGATGATGATGAACTGTGACTATATATAGACACACACACACATATATAGACACACACAAAATATATACATATATTTATATATGCATATTTACATACATACATATAGACATATATATATATATATATATATATATACACACACACACACACACACAAATATATACATATATATACATATTTATATACATACAAACATGTATAAACAAACACATACATATATGTATTGATATACTATATACAAACATAGATATTTATATACATACTAACACACACACACACACATATATATATATAGGCAAACATATATATTTATATACATGCAAATATAAATATCTATTATATATTTTTATATACAAAATATTATATACATATAAATATATACACACATATATATTATATATATATCAGTCAGTGTTTAATTATTTTAACAATTATGATGGAATTAATTTTTAATTAATCTACTTTGATCTTGCTTGAGAAATTATTTTGAAGGTTGCTGGATTTTTCTTTTTGATACATGTTTGATAAGAAAGAAATAGGTGAATTGTTTGATGGACTCTCAAGAAATTGACAAATAATATACAAAGTCATCATTTTCAGTACACAGCCAATCATGGCTCTCCACAACTTCCTGAACCTTGTAGTTCTAAGTCATATTTGAGTTTTCACCGCCCTTCTTCGTCCTTGATTTACATCTGTTCACACAAACTCCTTAGATATTGTTACTCACTGTTTCACTCTGCCTCTGATGCCTTCAATATATCCACTCCTCCTCTTCCCTATTGCTATTCAACCCCACCGCTGTGGAGTCCATGGCAAGTAGGGTTTTCATTGGGATAGGGTGGTGGTGGTGAACTCCATATATAAGTGGCTTTTTGAATTGTCCTTATCCTAGACTGGTTGCCAACCAAAACTAGAGAGTCCAGTATGCACTGATATTAGCCTCTAGCTGGGTCGGGGAGAAGTGGTACAGTGTAATACTTTTCGAAGGGGGCATTTGTGAGAGAGTGAATGCAACAGCCTTACTGGAATTTGGACTTTGCATTCCAATCTCACTTTCTGTGTTCATAACCACTATGACCCTATATATATATATATATATATATATATATATATATATAGAGAGAGAGAGAGAGAGAGAGAGAGAGAGTCAGCACCCTTACTGCTTAGTTTAGGATGGTACAAAAGCTATGAATAAGTACAGGAAAATAAAAAAAAAAACAATCATGATCAAATTGTAAAAAATAAAAGCTTTTTATACTGCTTCATCATTAGTAATGAGACACATTGATGTATGAGATAAAGATAGATGTAAACAGACTGCGATAGAGAAACAGATAGATAAGAGTCTAAGATAGATAGATAGATATGAACAGACTGCAATACATATGAACAGACTCCAATTGATAAATAGATAGGATAGCTAGATAATGAACAGATAGATAAATAGATGGATAGATATGAATAAACTGAGATAGAGAGATAGATATGGACAAACTGCAATAGATAGATATGAACAGATTGCGATAGATGGATAGATAGATATGAACAGATTGCAATTGATAGATAGATAGATAGATAATGAACAGACATAGACAGATAGATAAATAGATAGAAAAAAATCGATCGATATGAATAAACTGAGTGATAGAGATGAATAAACTGAGATAGATAGATAGATAGATAGATAGATAGATAGGAACAGATTGCAACTGATAAGATAGATAGGTAAATAGATAGATATGAATGACCTGAGAGTGAGATATGAATAAATTGAGATAGATAAAAGTAATCAAAAAACAAACAGTATAGAATTTAAAATATCAAAATTACCCTGCATTTTCCTCATTTCTCCAAAATTCTGATGAAGCTAAATGAGCAGAGTGAAATATGTCAAATTTATAAAGGTTTTCCTAGATGTTCATTATTTAATCATTTAGCTGGATTTAATACATATTTTCAAATAATACATAATTTCTTAGACAGAACAACCTGATATATATATATATATATATATATATATATATATATATATATATATATATATATATATATATATAGATAGATAGATAGATAGAAATAGACTGGCATTGATATGTAAAAATATGTGTGAGCACCCATGTGTTTATCCATGTAGAAGTCTTTAAAGATGAGCCTTATTCAACAAAATAAGTTTGAAAAGCTAATATAGAAGCACAGAAGAAACAATAAACCCCATAAAGCATGCATACACAGAAAGTTGTATGGCAGCAAATTATTGGGGGCAGTAATGGATAAAATATAGCCCCAAGATATTTTTTTTTAATTTCAAGCAATTTAGAATTCATAAGGAATTTAAATTCTATTTTTTTGGCAAATTGAAATGATGCAACATTTAATACTGTTATCTAAATGCTCCAAGACTGACATAAATACTGCCTCACTGGTTCATCTTGCAAGTCAGTTAAATAAAAATAACATAGATTAGGGGGGAAAATAAGGCAATGAACACATTCAGTGATGCTTAACTTGGGTAATAATTCTAAAACTGCAGTTTCTAAGGTGCTATAGACATGAAAAATGTTCTCTGTAAACAGAGGAATTGAATTAGCCATTGTCCAAAGAAGGTGAATAACCTGCCACTGTTAGATGCACACAGTTTAAGAAAACATAACACAATATCTGAATGGAAGTATGATAGAATATCAAACACAAGGGAATATTCTTTCCTGTGAGGCTTGATTTCAAGGCCAATGAAAGAACACTCTATCATAGGCAGCATTGTATTTGAAGTGGTACAGACCTGGACTCGGTTATGATGATCCCCTCATCATGAAGTCTCTGGGATGAGGTTCTGCATTGTTTAATCGCAGCCAGATCAATTTACTCACAGTTTTTGGTCTTCTTAGCATAGTGAAAATGAGAGATTTAGTTTAGGGTTTTCTCTTAGAAGGATGAATGAGAAAGAAAGGGAGAGACAGATAGAAGTTGGAGGGTAAGAAACAGGGAGAGGTTTTTTGGGCATGAGAAAGAAGTTGAGAAGTGAAAAGAGGATGAGAAAAATGAAGAAGAGCAGAAAGAAAAGAAGCTGTGAAATAGGAAGAAGAAAAGAAAAAAGGATAGGCTAAAGAGAGTGGAAAGGAAAAGAAAAGGGAAAAGTGACAAGAGGAGAAGAAAAAAAAGGAGGAATGATTAAAATATAAGAAGAAAGGGAAGGAGTGACAAGAAAACAAGGTAAAAAAAAGGGAGAAAGGAAAAGGAAAGGAAAGAGTAACAAATCAAAAGGAAAAGAAAAAGGTGGGATGACACGAAAAGAAAGAAAAAAGAAGTAATGAGAGGAAAGAAAAAAGGAGGACAGAAAAAAAGAGAAGAATGATAAGAACAGAAGGGAAAGAAAAGAAGGGTAACATCGAAAGGAAAAGAAAAAGGTGTGAAAAGAAGAGAGGGAAAAGAAAGAGAGGAGTGATAAAAAAAGAAGGAAAATAAAGGGAAGAGTGACAAGAGGAAAAAAGGAGTGACAAGAGGAGGAGGAAGAGGTAAAAAAACAAGAGAGGAAAAAATGAAGACGAGAGAGAGAGAGAGAGAGAGAGAGAGAGAGATTTTCTTGTAATCAAGAATGACGAAACAAAGAAATTCCTCATCTTTGTCAAAATCTCTTGATGACCAAAAAGAGAAAAATAGATTTATAGAGTTTGGAAAGTCAAAAGAATTCCTTGACATTTACAAATTTTTGTGTAATTTTTTTTCTCTTTATTTTATAAAAACCTCATTTGTTGGAGTTCGGTCACAGCTGCTGAGGATTTCTATCTCAAATTATATATTCTCTTCATTACCCTCCATCCCAACATTCTCAGCTCGACTTTTAGACTTGACTTTTATTTATAACATAATACAAGACTGACCATGAACAACTTTTTTTTTTTTTTTTTGAGGTATGGAGTCAAATTTTGAATTAGGGGTTTGAGAGACTGTTCTTAAGAAATAGAGAGGAGAAGGGGGAAGGAAAGAAAAAAAGGGAAAATAAAAATAAGGAAAGAGAGAGATAGAAAAGAGGAGAGAAAAGGAATAAAAGAGGAGAAAAATGAAACACAAGAGGGTGAGAGAAGGATGCAAAAAGATGGAGTGAGAAGAAGAAAAAAGGGAGTGAGAGAGGACAGGAACAGAAGAGAGAAACAGTGGAGTGGAATAGAATGGGGAGGGGGAATAAAGTGAAAAGAAAAGAAAATAAGAGAGGGGTAGGAGGGGAAGAGTGGGAGGGAGGGTAGGAACAGAAGAGAGGCAAAGAGAATAAGAACAGAAGGGAGAAAGAGAGGATACAAACAGAGAAGAGGGGGTGAGAATAGGAACAGAAAAGATGGAGGGAGGGTGGTAACAGAAAAGAACAGAGGAAAGAAAAAAAAACCTGGAGGAGAGGAAAAGAGGAGGGAAAAAAGAGAGGGACAGAGTAAAGGAAAAGAATAGAGGGAGTGAGGAGAGGAAAAGAAAAGAGGGAGTGAGGAGAGGCAAAGAAAAGAGGGAGTGAGAAGAGGAACAGTAAAGAGGGAGTGAGGAGAGGAACAGTAAAGAGGGAGTGAGGAGAGGAAAAGAAAAGAGGGAGTGAGGAGAGGAAAAGAAAAGAGGGAGGAGGGTAGGAACAGAAGCGAGGTAAGGAAAATATGAACAAAAGAGAGGGAAGGAAAATATGAACAAAAGAGAGGGAAGGAAAATATGAACAAAAGAGAGGGATGGGGGAAAGAAAAAGAAAAGGATAGAAGAGAGGAAAAGATGAGGGTAAGACAATGAGAATGGAAGTGGAGGAAAGAAAGACGGACAAGAGGGAAGGGAGAAGAGAACAAACCAGAAAGAAATAGAAAAAGAAAAAAAAGATAGAATACAAAAGAAATCAAATAAAAGAATCGAATTGCAAAACATAAAAATAAATAAAAATCTTAACACATTTCTTGGTAAGAATAGAAAAGCATTTATTTAAAAAGCCAAGAAAATGATTAAAAAAAAAAAAAAAAAAAAAAAAAAGATCACCTTCCCTCCGCCCTCAGCAAACTTTAAAGCAAACATCAGATACAGAGGAACCGGACAGATATGAAGAAAAGAACAAATAAATTTTATGAAATAATAATTATAAATAACAGTTACAATGAGAGAAAATTTTAAGCGAAATCTTGAACTTTAGCTAAAATATTCTCCCCTCCCTCTTTCCCTGAACTTTGACTTAGCTTTTTCTGCACTGAATGACCACCCCACCATCTTACTTAAATGCATGAAAACATGTTTACATAATATCCAATTAAATATTTTGACATTAAATGAAGAAATTAATTACTAAATTTTAGATCAGACATAATTTACTGACCCTCTCTTCGCCTGATAAGCAAATGCATTTTTCTGTTATAAATTGATACAAATGACAAAGAGCCCATCTTTTTGTTAAAACTCTAACTCTAAAAAGAATTATTCCTAAAGCCATTAAACAAAAGAGATTTCGGTACTACTTAAATTGTCGTCCGATCCACTTGTAAAAAAAAATAGGGAAAAATTTGTAGCGGGGGTAAATAATTTGTGTAGATTAACATTTATTAGACCTTCCTCAAGCCACAATATTTATCAGAATAAAAATAATATTGATTTTTTTTTATCATTTTAGAATTTGGGGAGGGGGGGTCCTGTTCATAATATAAATATAGTGTCAAACAGATCCCTGATATTTTTAAAGAGTTATCTGTACCTAGTTTTTATTTACAAATGTGAAGTCTCCGTCTCCACACTTGACTTTTTTTTTTATCTCTGTGTGCCCCAGTTTGATACAGTACATTTTTAGGATATTATGTTGTAATATTTTCAAATTTAAATAAATTAATAAATGTATATATGTTTGTTCTTCATTAAGCATAAGTAATTATCATCCCCTAATTTTTGTACAAATGCCTCCAAAAAAAGTTTTTAAAAAGTGACAAAAAGAGTTTTAAAAGCTTTTTTTAAAAAATTATTTAAAAATAACTCCCTCCATCTTTTCTGTTCCTATTCTCACCCCCTCTTCTCTGTTTGTATCCTCCTAAGTGCAGGTTCAAACTTCAGATTTCTAAATAAAGACTAAATATTTTTTCATTTTTTTAAATCATTTTGCACCATGCAAGGCAATAAAGTCACTAAGGCATAATGTGAGTGAAAGAATCTGAGTTTAAATTATTGGCTTTGCTTAAAGTATGTTACATTCTGTGTAGCATATATATATATATATATATATATATATGTAGGTATGGGGTAAAATATGAATTAGAATCTGACAAAATTTGGGAACAAACATGTTATCCCCAACACCAAGATCCTTAACACTGCCTCTGAAACGATCAGAGATTCTAGTTCCACATGTCATGTTTTTAATGGATGTCAGTTATCAGTTATCTCCTGTTAATTCCCCTCTCCAAGTTCCCCACTGCCTTAGCCGGGTACTGAACTCACACTGTTTGGATCCTGTTACTGGATCTAACCAACGCCTTTATCCATTATGCCATGGCACGTGAAACTAGAACAGTCTACCTCAGTGAGCAAAATAAATGGTTCAGTTCGACATTCCAACCACCTGAAGAAGGCCGAAGCATACAATGGCCGAAATATTGTAATAAATATGGCAACAAAGATGAGGACAATAGTCCGAATATTGTAAATAGTGTATATAATACCTCATCTCAGAAATATAGACAGATACTAAAGGATAAGATGTTATGGAGAGCTATGACCGCCCATATACTGAAGGAACACGGCACATAAAATAAAAACAAAAAACAAAAAAAAAAACAGCCTTCTTCAGGTATCTCTGTTAGTTGGTAAACATTCAGGAATTTTGTACTAAACACTTTATTCAATTCACAAGGATAATCTGTTATTTATTCTGCTTCCCATGATAGAAGATACCTTGTATAAGTTACCAATTATGACAAACCCCTGAAGAAAGTTGAGGGTACAACGCACAAAATATTTTGATAACAACCAAAATAAGTATATTAGTTCCAGTAAATTAGTATATAGTAATGATGATTAGTGCATAGTAATGATAACTATTCATTTGAAAAACTCCAAAGTTTTCAGAGATTTTGTTGAAAACTAAGAAAGAATCAGCTTTACTCATACAAAACTCAAACGTTCTCTTCTATAAAACAGTTTTAATTAATTTGTTAATTAATGAGGTAATTAATGGATTTAATTTCTTCAAAGGTTTATACAATTTCTACTATGTTATTTTATAAAATCCTGAAATTTTTGTGGAAATACCAAACTATGAAAAAAAAAAAAAAAAAAAAAAAAAAGAGAGAGAAAGAAAAAAATTCTTCCCTTAATTTATTGTTACATTGGGCTTTGAAATTGGCATGCTATTAATGATTTGTTTTTCACGGCTTGTCAACCCTGTTAGCTGTTAGGGACAATAATATGAAAAATAAAAAATTGGCATGCTAATAATGATTTGGCCATGAAACAAGGTTCAACCTTATGATCTAATATTTACAATAATATTAGAAAAAGAAAAAACAAAAAACCTGTGCTTAGTTTTCTGTCAAAAACATGGTTCATTCTCAGCATCATGATTTTTTAATGATTGACTGATTTTTTTTTTAACTGAGTATCAACTCTTTTAGTTGTTGAAAGGACAATCTATATAAAAGAAAGATTGTGTCTTTATGTTTGCACAATGAACGAGCACACGCCTTTTTATAAAGAAAAATTGGTGGAGACCAGTGAGCGCCAAACTGCAATAAAATCCACATCCTGTTTTTGTCTCAGAGGAGGTTAAAAAACTCTTTTAGTCTTCATTTTCTACAAGAAATGCTAAATGTGGGTACAAAATAATAATGACTTTCTTTACCCACTCCTCTCAAATCCGGGCAAGCTGAGGAAAAAGATGGAAAGAAATTTGCAAGCCTGTGTGAAATTTTCTTTGAACCAAATAGAAACATTGTTTTTAGAGGAATTAGCTGTTTAGCCTAGAAAAGAAAGAAAAGAAAATAGTGATTCTATGAGAAATCCTTTTTGATACAAAATAAGGAAAAAAATTAAATCAACAAGACAAGAGTGTCCAAAGTCATGTGAAAAGTTTAATTTTTGTTAATACGTCCAGCGTTCAGATTTTCGCCAGTGTCAAATTACTTGCTGTTATTGACCTTAACAAAGCACCTGGTATTACCCTTCATCATTAATCTTCTTGACATGAGTAAAACAACTGTACATTTTAATCCCAAAGTCCCACGCTACTATAGAACAACATCAAACAAGACTTTTAGCAACTCAAGAGAAAGCAAATGCAAGGTGTTCTCCAAGGAAAGCTATGGAGGATACCGGAACACAGAGTGAAACATATTTGCAGCCTGAAAGGGAACAATATTCTTTACATTGGGCAGTTGAAACATCAGAACAAGGACAAGAAAGACTGCAAGCTGAAAGAACCAGGAAGAATGCAGACGTGTCCACGTCTCCAAAGGTGGAATGTTCTTCCTAGATGCTCCTGGAGAGATATGAAAGACATTTGTTACTAAGCTGCTTTGGGCCAAAATTTAACAGACTTCAGGCTGCTAGAGCTAAGAGGGCTGTTAGACGGCAGTTGACACATGAACAAAGTCCCATGCCACTATAGAACAAGATCAAACAAGACTTTTAGCAAATGCAAGGGGTTCTCCAAGGAAAGCTATGGAGTATACCGGAACACAGAGGGAACCATTTTTGCAGACCGAAAG